ACAGACAGCAAGGACAGAACTTTGAGACAGTCCTCCAATGTGTTCCATGAGCTGGATTTCCCTGAGGGACTTAAAGACACCCATGCTCCAGTTTAATTTCCTGCTTAGAACTGTGGCTCAGTGGCTCTACATGGAGCATTTCAGAGTCCCCTGAACTGAATGGGATGCTGAAGACAAGGAAGCAGTGAAAAGATCCCTCTCTGGTCAGGCCTCCTGCACCTAGGTGGGTGAGGAGCTCACAGAAGGCCTCTGGGGGCTGAATAACAAAAGTTGAAAGTCAGTGGCAGAACCCAGGACATCTGTGACAGTGAACTAAGCAGGCTGCCACAAGAGTCTCAGGGTGAGTCAGGAGTGGAGAAGTAGATTTCTCACTAACGTGTCTCTGAAGGCTGAACAGGAAATTCTCATACCCGACTGATTTTGAAATCAGTTTCGCTCATCACACCCTTACAATGTAGGTCATTTTGTCTTATTGAACGGACATAGTGGTCAACTGAGTGTGTCATTTTCCGAGTACCTTACAAGAATTGCTATGTGTTCTCAAAAGGTGAGAGAGGATTAATCACCAAGGTTCCTCTTTCAAGATATTCCTAGACAACTTTTCTCTTTTACTGAAAAATATTTTTATATAATATATTCTGATTGCAATTTTTCCTTCCAGTTCTTACACACCTCCTCTCCCATCTGAATCCAAACTCTATTTTTCTCTTATTGAAAACAAACAGGCATCTAAGGAATAATACTAAAATAAATAAGCATAATACATAAATCAAAAGAAAACAAATCATAATAAGAAAAAAGAACTGAACAAGAAAAAGAGTCAGAGAAAAAGAGTCAAAATAAAAGTACAAAAAATGCTGCAGAGGCACATGCATTCACACTCAGGAATCCCTTAAGAACCAAAATCTGTAAGTTATAATAGATGTGCAGAATATCTTTAAGTTAAAAAACAAATAAACAAAAGAAAATGAAAGCCTGACTTAGATTTATAAGACAAAGAACCTTCCAAGATGTCCTTGAGTTTGTGACAAGGATGATACATCCTTGAGTTTTTCTTTTGGTCATTGATAGCTGGGCATGAGGTCCTCCCTTAAGAATGGTTTGTTTATTCAGCATCACTCTCTTTAACAAAATTAAATTGTCATTTGCAAATGACCACCGATTGGAGGTAGCCTATGTGTTAGGTAGGAGGTCTTGTGTCCACTTCTCTCTTCAGTTCTAGGACCCCATCTGTGTAGACCCATGCAGGCCCTATGCATGCTGCCATGTTCTCTGTGAATTCATTTGTGTGCAAACCATGTTGTGTCTGGAAGGATCGAATCCTTGGTGTCCTCCATCCCCTCTGGCTCTTACATTCTTTTTGCCTCCTTTTTCACAGTTCCTGGAGCTCTGGGGAAAAGATTTGATAGAAACATCCCTTATAAGACTGTAATTTCCAAGGTCTCTCCCACTCTACACATTGTGCATTTGTGGCTCTCTGTATTTGTTCTCATCTGATGCAAAGAGAAGATTGTAAACTGGGTGGTGTGGAATTGCATGCCTTTAATCCCAGCACTTGGGAGGCAGAGGCAGGCAGATCTCTGTGAGTTCAAGTCCAGTCTGGTCTAAAAGAACTTGTTTCAAGATAAACACCAATGATACATCCTGTCACAAAAAAAAATGAGAAAAAGCAAAAATTAAAAAGGGAAGATTCTTCGATAATGGCTGAGCAATACACTGGCCTATGAGTATGGCAGAATGTACTTATGAGTCATTTTGTTGCTATTTCCTTTAGCAGAACACTAGTGTTTGGTTTTCCCCTAGGTCTCTGCGCTATCAAGTCTCATGTTCTTAGACATCTAACAGCACTGGGTTATTAATTCCATCTCATGGAGTGAGCTTTAAATCCAATAAGATATTGGTTGGTTACTTGAACAAGCTTTGCACCACTATTGCACAAGCAAGTCTTATATGCAAGTCACTTTGTAGCTGCGTTGGTGTCTCCTTTTCTTCTTTAGTAGCGACCATAGTTCCTTCAAGTATCATGAACACTAGTCAATAGGGGGCAGTAGGGATGAAGTCTCTACATAGGCACCAGCTCAACTTCTTCATGTTTCATGAGTTGTGTAAGGGTTGTTTTCAGTAATAAGGCTTCACTGTAGTTTGTAGAAAGCCACTAATAGACTTGCAATAGCTTGGTTTGTTTGGGTGTTTCCATGGAAGGATGCTTGTATTTTATTTTAAGTCTCTCTCTGTCTCATGTCTAGCTCTGTAGGAGGCTGCCCACACCAAATATAAATGGTATTACATACATTTTTCTCCTTGTAGTCATATTGTGTCATATATATCATGAAAAAGTCACAAAACATTATTAAACTCAAAATACATTGTCAATTAATATTAAACTTGATGTTTGTGTAATCAAAATATTTGCTAAATCTAATGACTGGTACAAGAAACACAAAAATCATCTCACATTTTTGTTAAAATTCTTGAAAAAACTACATTTTATTTAATTTTCAAAAATAAATTTTTGTTTAAATCACTTCAATGAAATAAATGTTAGATGTGTAGATATCATTGAATGTTATCAATGTTATGCTGTGTCAGTAAAATTAAAATATCAAATATGTAGTTATATAGCTATTTTATCCTTAATTGTAACTATTTATATTTTAATAGGAATGTTCAGTTTTAAATAACAAATTTCAAATATTACTATTTAGTAAATAAACTAAATTAAAAGGTCCTATCGTGTTACACAGAAGGATTATTTCATTATTTTAAGGTTTGCTTTGTGGCCTTTGTTATCACCATATTTGGAGACTTTTTTATCTGCCACTCGGAAGATCCCTATTCCTTGACTGCCAAAATATATTGCTAAAACTCTTCCATATTCTTGTACATGTGTTTCCATATTATTTACAAGTCTCTGAAACATATTTACTGTTTTGATTTCATAGTATTTTCTTTATATTTTTATATTGCAGAAGCATATTTGACTAGTTTCATTTCAGTTCCTATGGCCATACCTTGTTTCAGTCACAAAGTAGAGAATCGATTGTTCTGCATCTTCTACATTGAGGCAGGCTCTCTGTTGGTCCTAGAACTCACTGATACGTGTGTTCTAGCTTTCTTTTTTACTCTAACGATCTTCTGTCTCTCCCTCCCACGCTCTGAGATTACCTGCTTGAGGCCACATCTGTCAAGCACTTATATGGTTTCTGTTGTTCCAAATGCTGGTCCTCAGCCTTGCAAGTAAAGCATCGTAGCCATTAATCTATCCCACTACTCGACAAAGAAGAATTCTCATGGGACAGGAAATCAAACTCTCACTTCACGTTTTCCTTTGTACACTAGTGTTGTAACAGCTACTGTGTGATGTTAACTGTTGCTTTGTACAGCAATGGAAATAACATAGCAAAGATAAAAAATTATCTCCCTGCAACAGCATTGATATTTAATGACTTTGCATTGTTCATAGTTATATACAGGCATGTATACATTACATGCATTCTCATAAGATTGTACATATAAAATGACACACTAATACACATATGCACAGAGAAATGTCAGTCACACATTCCTAAATCTATCCCCATATAAGGAAAACAAAGAAACACTTACACAAC